GTAATTTTCTCTCAGATCTGAATACTTTTAAATAATAAAAATAATCATAAGTTATAAAATTAAAACTTATTCATATCGCATTTTATTTTGTTATAACTATTAACAAAATAATCTTACATAATTATTAAAATAATTAGCTTATTTATTAATATATATTTCAAAAAATAAGAATTTTTATTCAAGATTATTTTATATTATTATTTTGAATTATTTTGAATTATTATTTAAAACTTAAAAATATAATAATTTTATTAAATAAATTAATAAAAATTCTTTATAAATAACTTTAAGAGAGCTTAATATATAAGTAAAAATTAAGAAAAAATTCAAGATATTATTAAAAGAATAAAAAATAAAATAAAAAATATAAAAATATAAAACTAAAACTAAAAGAAATTAAAAAGAATAAAGAAAATGTTATGAGAATTATTAATCAAGAAAAATAGCAAAAAAATCTATATACTCTATTACTAAAATAATTTAACTATATATTATTAAAGATTTTCTTGAGTAATTATTCTTGTTAATTGCATAACTTGTATATTTCATTATCAAATACTTCATAAATATAAAACTAGTTTTTATTCCATTATTATTTAAATTTGATTTGAATTACATCTTTCATATTATATCTATGCAAATAAAAAAAAATAAAACATCTGAGCATTATCTATTACAAATCAATCAATACATAAAATAACTTTTTAATTATAACTCATTTAAAATGATGATTAATATTTTTTTTGCGTTTTCACTAATACTATTCTCTATTGTACAACATCCTGAATATCAACATTCATCTGATATATTTGAACTTAATTGAACCATATAAAGTCTTCAAATATGATACTTGTGACTCTCATAATGGAAATGATACGCCACTAACACGTCCAATAGTTTTCACAGAACTAATCACAAAATCTTTATGTCTTGTAAACTCTCTATCGATTCGTTGAAGCCCATTCCAAAATGCTTGCCTATCAACAATCATCGGTACATAATGGTCAACATCGGATTCAACTTCGTCGTCTTCGTCCAAGTCGTCGCTATCCTCGTCCGTGAAATCTGACCCTGAATCAGAACCCGAATCTTTAGCAAGGGAGTGATGATCGTAAAATGAGACATTCTCGCCGAGGTATCTTGCGTATAATGTTGTAAATTGAATTGTTAAATTAAGGATGTCAAAAATGGCTTTTTTTGCTGGTTTTGTCTAAAGGCGAAGAAAAATAAAATGTACTCGAGTGAGACATAAAAAGTAAGATAGAAGAGAAACTGGTTTGGTATTCGAGTTTTCTTGCCTTATTATTTAGTAGACATCGATCAAAGACTGTCTGAATAAAATGTTTATGTGATGCGATCATTTTATCGAAATCAAATACTTTTTCTATCTCTGAATGAAACTTTGCTGTTTCTGAGTATAGTATCTATTCGTTATATAAATATTATAAGTTTTTTTATAATGTGTACCAGACATATTAATTAAAATATATTCACCATCCCCATTAGATAATCCCAGATAGTATTCAGGAACCAAATTAAATTCAACCTGATCCCATAAAAAAGTTTCATTTCTCGAGACTTGGGATCCAGTTGTTCATTCTGCAATCGTGAGAAAGCCATTCGTTCGACAAGATATTTTGCTCGTCTAATTTGTAGCAAAAATATCGTGATTTGTTTGTAGTATTGTAAACTATCAGCTTGTATTATGTTGTTGATTGGCCATGGCAACTTTGTATCAAATAATAAGGTATAAGCTTATTGTTTCCTAAATGAGAAGAACGTGCGCATTTATTGACTTACCCTACATTCTATCATTATCTTTTCGAATATTCGCATATTGGTAATATCAGGTCTTTTAAGAACATTGTCATCAATTCGTGCACTTATGACCCCATTTGGTAGCCAATCCAAATTTTTAAGAGTATTTATAAAGATTTCGTTAAGAACATAACTATCATACCATAACTGACGACGATCCATCTAATACAAGTTATGCGTTAGAATTCACAAATACATTCATAACCCATAAATTAATATGCCTCGACAAAATACAAACCCTATCAAAGAGAAGGTCGCAGAGACGATGTATAGATTCTCCTTCTTGCATAAAATAAATACCAGATAATGTACGAAGATGCGCCCAAAGATGACATCGATCAACCAAAGTTTTATATAAAAGATCGTTAATATGTTCGTATTGAGGCTGAAGATAATCTTCAAGATTATCGGCAAATCTTTGGTGAAATGGTTGAAAGGTCAAAAGGTCGAATGAACGAAGTTTTTCGATTCCTATCTCCGCATTAGACGAAGCGTAAAGTTTCTTGTCTTTACTATCCTTGATGGTTTAAGATTGTTAGCGATAGAATAATCAACCATAAAATGATTAAACAAATTATATTTACTTTTGAAAAGTTTAATGACATAAGCAAATTACGGCCTTTGCCCGCAAACATAATTCTATTGACAAATTGTCCAAGAAAATCAAGCGAGTGCAGAACGGTAGGTGTGTTTTTGTGGGACGGAATTGCCTCACGAACTATAAACATTTCTTGCCAGTGATTTCCAGATTTTTCCACTACTTTAGAATTTCTAAGATATAATAAGAATTTCCATAAATAAATTTAATGAAATGTGAATTGTTGTAACAATGCATACTTTACAATAAAGAATTCATCAGCAGGATCATCCAAGCTGCCATATTTTATCCATTTGTCTATGATTCGCATGTAAGGCTCGAACGCGTTATCAAAATGTCTTCCCAGCATCACGAATAAACGTGTATTACCAGCAATTTGATGGCGTATAATTTCAGCATAGAGCCCAGACAGAATTGCATATGAAAATTCCCAAGGATGGTATGAGGGAACGTGGTCTTCATTCGATGTACTTGTATATTCTAATTCAGGAATTTCTATAGACAAATCAATTAATATTTTTAATTTTTTCTTTGACTTTTATATTTCGAATATAATACAACCTTTAAGTGGCGTATTGACAACAAAAGAATAAAGAATTTCAAATTCAAAAAAATAATTCGAAAGACGATTTCTTAGTTGTAATAGGGAAGCAATGGTGTGCTCGCTTCGAACTCTTTTTGCATTGTATTCATACTCCATTTCACCAATCACTTTTTCGAATTTCGATATCATCTGAAGAATGGAATCAGCAAAAGCTTGAGAAGTCATTCCGTATTTTGAGCAGTCAGATTTGCATATCCTGTGATCATATAGATGACATTAGTGAATAATAAGTAATCGATCTTATGATTTCTGACAATTAATAAATTCACCTGTATGAAATTCCTCTCACTTTCGCGATTGCATTGGCTTGATCGCAAAAATATTGCAAGAGGTTTTTAAACGCACCTTCCGAGAGATGTGTCAACTTTGCTTTTATCTCAACCTTTTATAATATGAGATCGACGTTATTTGATACACATAATGACTCACTTTAGTGTTTGATATATGAAAAAATAAAATTTTTACGTTAAATCATAATAAACCTGGAACCCATTGTGATTTTTCTTGCTGAATAGTAACCCTGGTCTGCCAGATAACACGAATAACACTTCGCGTATAGCTTCAAGCTCGCTAATGAATTTGACATTGACGTGATGATTTTTGAATGGATTGCGAGGATCTTTGCTTAGATGATTATCGACAGAAGGTCCTGTGTATTTGTCACTACTTTTTTTTAATTTAGAGTCAAAATCAAAGTATTGTTTCAAATAAACAGACCAAGTGTACATGGATTATTAATATCGAATTCGATTTTCATATTAAAGTAAATGTTATTTCGACAGTCTGAGCGCCAATATTGTAGAGATTCTAATTCTTTCACACAATCGTATCTATAAGTCATGGTTTTAAAATAATGTACGCCCATGTCGATCTTCTACAAATATTTACTGTTAATACACGGATAAAATTTTGTAAGATAAACTTGGTAAAAATAAAAAAAAAACGAAACTCACTTCCAACTCATTTTGCTCTGATTCAGAAGGGAGTACATTATTATCGCTTAATCTTTCCCTTATCCAATCTTGATCAACATCCCAATCTTCCTCGTCTTCGTCATCATCCAAATATGAAACAGATCTCCAATGTGCGCCAGTTAAAGGACGTTCTTTGAATATTTGCGCGACTGTTTGGTTAGACTTGATCTTCGATAGTTTTGGACGCATGGGAACATAATGGGATTTTAATGGCAAATCAGAGAGCGCAAGGAGCATTGCAAGGATTGCAAACCTCGTGGTAATGTTCTAGAGTCAATTTAATGAAATCAGTAAGCCAAAACAAATAAAAAGAAAGAAACAATTCAAGCAATGAAAAAAAGCTTACTGAATTCGAAATGGTTTCTAAGGGATTTTCGACAAATGATTTAATACAATTGTCAAGTGATTTTGCCTTCTCATATTGTGCATGGATACGGAATTTTTCGACCAAGCTAATAAAAATTGGAAAACGCGTAAAAAGTAAAATTGATTAAGACGCGAAATCGTTTTCCAGCCAGCTCTTTTCTCATTAATTACCCTTTGTAACGTCTAAACACTTCATTCTCATTATTACTTCCAAAGTTGTGATACTTGAAGGTGCTTAAAGAATTGGCTTTACATTTTTCAAAGTAAGTTCCTTGCTATAAATAATAAAAATCACTAAAAGGGTAAAGATAAAAAAAACATATAGGAAAAAGGTTCTATGAAATGAGCGTACTGGAATATTGGTTATGTGCTGTATTAGTTGTTCGGTAAGCTTATTGATATTATCTGCGTTCATGGTATTCAAGAAGGACTAAAAAGAAACGAAAAGTATAATTTGTGAGGCGGCTTCATCGTGAAGAATTTAAATTAAAACGCGCATAGAATATCACAAAATAAAATGAAATGGTGGTACAAGATTCTGCAAGTGAAGTGTGTGGTATAATTTTTTTGATCTTCGAGCTCTCCATCAATCCCGATGCAATGGCAGCAACGCAACGACAAAAAGACACCACAGTCTACGAAGACAAAGATGTTGCATTAGAAACTTTAAAAACTGGTTTGATTTTTACGACAATAGGCTTATTTGTCTCGGCGGTGCAAAACACTCTAGACACGCATAACCATGGAGCAGCTGGCGTTTTTACGAGAACGGGGTCAACGATAACTTCTTTTGGTGAGTACCAAATGTTTGTAGAATAAAAATTGCTTTGATAATGTGGAGAGAGGATGATGGATTTATTGATTATGGGTGTTCATTTTTCGGTATGTTTTCTTGTAATAATTTTCACATGAACATTTTATGGGAGGTGTAATTTCAAGAGTGTATATGTAGTGGTAACTGATTCTTAGTTAAAAAGAAAATAATCAAAATCGATTTAAAAAAGATCACTTTCTCTTGTACAAATCAAAAGCATCCTATAGCTAATAAAATCGTGAAACAATATTGAGATATAACACAATCAACAATATATTTATTTTAATAAAAGCGGCGATTGGAAGTATTTTCGCCGCAACAGAATCATTGAGCGCGAATATACGAAAAACGGATGATTGGAGAAACTCTGCTGTTGCCGGATGTGCTGCTGGAATGTACCCCGGGTTAAGATGTAGTAATCTCAATTTTAATAATATTCTCGATATTTCTGATGTTTAAATCAATTATAATTATGTAGCACATTCTTATCCGTTATTGATTGGTGGATGTGCTGGCATGGGGATCGTAATGGGCGTATTTGAGTATTCAGGACGGTGGGGAGGAAAGTTGGCTGGAAAAACGATGGTTTGTTTTTTTTTACTTTTTACTTTCTTTATTCGAATTCGATATATTAAATTTAAACTTTCATAATTGATTCGACACTACTAACTTTTATTATTTTTGGTGAAATTAGGAAGAGCAAAAAGCTTGGCGAGAAGGCTTTATCATAAAACCTGGCATTCGTACTTTTCATACTCAAAATCAAACTTCTGATGCTTCAAATCAATAGTTGATTAGTTAATTAGATATCAAATGCTATCGAGAGATTGTTTTATTTTTTGTTTCCGTCAAATTTTTTTTTTTAGTATTTTTAAATTGTAAAATAACGAATAAAAAGTTTCTGCATAATAATCATGCTGTGTAACGAATAAAAAAGTCACATGACACGATATAGCTATAGATAACGAACAATAATGATAGTTCTTCAGAAGCAGAAAAAGAAGAGAAAGAGAAAAAAAAATAGACATGGTAAATGATATCACTGATAATAATAACAGCAATTCTTACGATAACTATAATAACCATGATTATAATTATCTTAATTATTTAAATAATGACAATAACACGTATTCCGAATGGCAACCAGTATGGGATGAGAGTGCGCAAGCGTACTATTATTGGAATACCCTTACCAATGAGACCACATGGCATATACCTTCGTCATCGTCAACCGAATTGATTGGCGGGGGAGAAGAAAGTAGTGGTGCGGAGGGTGGTAATAATGAAAATGCTGTAAATATTAATAATCTTAATAGTGACCAAAATTTAATACATAATAATTATGGTATTAGTGATCACAATAATGGAAATGTGAATCTAACCGAAGAACAACAACAACAACAGCAGCAGCAGCAACAACAACAAGAGTATTATAATCAATATTATGCTCACTATGGTTACTATCCTGAAACGTACTATACATCATCGTACGAAGCACCCACCACATCAACAACCGTAGAGGAACCCTTAATAAATCCGCTTGATTCTCTTCTCGATAAAATTGACAAAGAAGTAAAATCAAAGTTGGATGGCGATTCAAAGTTTTCATCCACATCTTCCGAGACTTCGGAAGATACTTCGGCATTGGCTACTACCGATACTACTACCACCACCACCACCACTACTGCTGCCACCACTTCTACTACAACTTCTTACATACCTAATACAACATCTACGTCGACGACATCAACATCACCAAATTATTCTAGTCAATATCTTTACACCGATCCGTCATTACCATTACCAGACACAGCAGCAACAGCAGCAGAAAACATGTCCGATTATAATGCATTCATTGCGCAACATGGAAATACAAGCACCGAATACACCCTACAAGCACGTTTCAATTCACGAACCGGTCGATTTCAACGTGATCCAAGTCTGAATCCCGAAAGGTTTTCCGCCGACTCGAAAGCAGTTCGACAAATGTCTTATTTCTTTGATTATGAACAATTCTCATTGGAAAGAGGCGTGAAAAGGCTGAAACAGGGTAGCGGAGGCGAGAAGAGCAAAAAGATTGGAAAACGAGAGTTGGAGATTTTGAAGCAGAGGAAAAAGGAAAAAAAGGAAATGAAAAAGAGGGCGTGGTTGATGGGTGACGATTAATTCCTCTGATGAATTTGGTAAAGATAACGAAGGTAAACTTGTCACAACTTTTACTTCTTATCTCTGTCTTCGCCGCTCTGTTTGGGACGAAACTGATTGACGATGTCTGTCGTTAATTTTTTTTAATTTTAGTACTTTTTAGATCATAATTTTATTTAAAATACTACAGTGTAGTCTTATTCAGCGTGTGTTTAGATCATTATTATATTACTAGTAGTATTCTTATCTTTATTAATGTAATATTCACAACAATAAAAAATCTCGTAAAACAATAAATTTTTATGTTGCCACAAAATAAATTTTTATTAAATTTTTTTTCAATTTTTTTTTCTGATTAGTATAAAGGGAAAGCTCAACAAAACTATGAAATATGAAAAATGTCTCGTGTCAGATTCGAACTGACGACCGTCTGTGTGTTAGACAGACGTGATAACCAACTACACCAACGAGACATGTGAATTATGTCATCTCTCAAATTTTTAAACTTTTAATTGGTTAATTGATTTAAAGATCAAATTAGAGATTTGATTTTAATCACGTGAGTAGAAAGTTGAAAGGACTTCCCACACCAAATAAAATCTCATTACATCGTTGGTCGTATTCACAAAATGGAACTTCCAAAATCTCGCATAGTCCATTTAGTTGACTCCCGCGAAATTTTACCGCAACCACAAAAATGGTTTACAACTGCTTTAAAAGGAGATCCTTACTTTGTTAGACGGTTCAATAACGATTATCGAAGCCTTACTGGACACACAGGTTGTGTTAATACTGTGATTTGGAATAAAGCTGGTGACCGTATATTATCTGGCTCAGGTTGGTTGCTAATTAACATGATCTGGTGGCGTTGTTCCTCATTTACGTTAAGAGTAAACTTTAGGTTGGAAAAATTGGATGCGGTTACATTTAGAAAGAACAAGAGTTCCTACCCACGCAAGTCTCTAACTACTAAATTAAAAATACATGCTAAAAATAGACGACAACCGGATTAATATATGGGCACCATTCGAACCCACAAAGAATGCTTTGATACATACAATCCCATCGGGACATAAGGCTAATATTTTCTCTGCGCATTATATGACCAATACCGGTGATCGACATATTGTATCCTGTGCCGCGGATGGAATTGTCAAATTTACCGATCTGGGTCAATATATTTCACAATCCGAAACGAGTAGTTGGAATCCTTGGCCTTCTTTTCAGTGTCACAGTGACTTAACGTAAGTACACATTTATAATGAGAAGTTTGGACGATTATCTTGAAGAGCGAGTATTTTCAAAATATACATGAATCTGTGATGTCGCGTTTGCGTGTTTACATTAGCAACAACCATATTTTTCTTTGATAGTAGCGTAGCAACACTATTGCAACAAAAACTCTTCAATTCCTCATTGTTGTTGTTGGCATAGATACCAAGTTCTTCCGGATCCAATCGATTCCAACATATTTTTTGATTGCTCAGATGACGGAACAATCAACCTTTATGATCTAAGAATCAGAACATCATGTAATTGTGATCATTGCACACGTCACACATTCCTAGATCTCAATATGAAACGACGACCACAAAAAAGAAAGTTATTTACTACTTCCGCATCAAAACACGAGGATGCTCGTTCGCAAAGTGAGCCAGAATCGGAACAACAATCACGAAGACGTCGTCATCTATTTGAATCCCGTTCTTCTAATTCAATTAGTATTACTAATATAGCCATTAGACCTGATAATCCGGTTTATTTGGCAGCAGCATGTTCTGATGATACTGTGCGAGTTTACGATCGAAGATTTATTCCTCCACCATCTTCAGATTCGGTGTATCATCGTGATGCTCAAGTATACACGTTCATTCCCACGCGTATGAAACATGATAGTACACAGCGAAAAGAAGAGAATCATCACTTTGACGCATATAACTATCACCGGATGACCTGTCTTATATATGATCCAAATGGAGGTGGTGACTTATTGGCAAGCTATAGTCGTGATAAAATATATCTAATAAGACCTGGCGCAGGGAAAATCAAAAGATCTGGGAAATCTCGAATGGGTGGAATTAAGGTTCCAAAAAAGGAAAAAAATTTAGTTGATAAATCAATAGATAATGATGATGATCTTGTTGACGAAGCTCGTATTATGGAATCGGCGAACGAGCGAGTAACGAATGATGCAGAAAATATTATTGGCGAAGAAATGGACATTTCATCTGACAATAACAATCAGAATGTTGATACGAAAGGGAAAAATAAAGAAAGCGACGGCAACATTGAGGGTAGTGGTAGTAAGGCAAATTATACTGCTGCTGCTCCTGAGACTGAAGATAATATCCCAACATCACGTCCACTACACATAAATTCAAATGATATACAACAGAATTTATATGAGACAGAAGATATTGATTATGAAGACGATAATATGCATAGTAGTAGTGATGAAGACGACACAGATTTTAATATTGAAGAAGCAAACGATGAGGATATTGTTCAGACATTTAGCGGACATCTTAATGAAAAAACAATGGTATTCTTTCATATTTCGCTGCCATGAACAGATCATACGCTAAGCGTTTGATATTAAATTTTCAAATAAAAAATATTGTTAGATTAAAGAAGCCAACTTTTTTGGGGATCGGTCACAGTACGTCATGAGTGGTTCTGATGACAGGAGAATTTTTGTATGGGATAAGAAGACCGGTCGTGTAATAAATTTATTGATTGGTGATAGGGTAAAAATTTCTTTTAATTAAATTTTTTACATTCAATGATTTCTAAGCAATTTAGATTAAACGAATTTTACTTTGCAGAAAGTGGTTAATTGTATTCAGCCACACCCATACCTTCCCATACTATGCACATCGGGAATCGACAATGATGTTAAAATCTGGCAGCCTTGTGCAGATGAAGAGTATGATGTATCAAAAGCCGAAGAAATTGTCGAACGAAATAATAGATTTAACGAGACTCATATTGGCGCGGAGATGAGAAATCGAGTGATGATTATACCGAGTAATATGATTTGGCAAATGTTGGGTAAGTGTGAATAATATAAGTAATAATACATGGTTGACGAAGTTGGATTTTGGATTAGACAAAGTTTTTCGCGGGATGGATTTAATAAAATTTTAGATTAATATTCTATTTTGGATTGATTTCTAATATACTTTTTCATTTATTTTATTCCATATTAGCAATGATTAATGAAGGTTCAACAGGATTTTTTGATTCAGATAATGAATGAATCAATAGAAAATGCACACCTAACATGTAATCCATGAAAGTTGCGATAAATATTTTCATGCGCATATTGGCAATAAAGCAAGTGTATATTAGTATAATATGTATGTATTTACTTTGTTTGTTGTTTGATTTAAATTAACGAATTTGGAGATGCAAAAAAATAAAGCTAAACGGGTTGACATTTATCTAGAAATAAATAGTAAAACATATTTTTAGTTTATTAATGAAACGTCACGCACATACCTCCACCTCGTGATCCCGTGGTTTGAATGACATCACTACTTTCGCATCAAAAAATTAAGTAGTTCTTGGGAAACTAACTGAAAATGAAGTGGATAATAAATTTAGTAAACGAAATTGAATCTGACCTGGCTTAATTATCTTAATTCTTTTTCTTATTCTGATAGCTACCCCTAAAGATGGTAGTCGCAATTACTATATTGCAACACTCTATATTGCAACTAAAGATGACGCAGCAGGTATGTGACGCTTATTTGTCACCTGTTGCAACAGTTAAGGAGTCATCTTTAGTTGCAACTTTATTAAAAAATTTAATAAAAATCGCAACTTGTCACAACTTGCCACAACTTGCCGCAACTTGCCGCAACTTGTCGCAACTTGCCGTAACTTGCCGCAACTTGCTGCAACTTATCGCAACTTGCTGTAACTTCTTGTAATTTATTGTAACTTGTTATAATTTATTATAACTTATTGTAACTTGTAACAACTTGTAATAACTTATCATAACATTGCAATTTGTTACAACTTATTATAATTTGTTATAACTTGTTATAACTTACAAATTACTTTTCAAATAACTTTACTTAATAGTATATTATTAATAATTACTTCTAATGAAAATCATTCAAATTTTAACCAATCTTTATAATTTTTTTATATTAAATAAAAAATAATCTAAATTAACTTTTTACATTATTTTAACTATTCTATTATACTTTAATTCAATAATAAATGAAGCATTACTTTACCAAAAAAAATTAAAATAAAATTATTTTTTTTAAAAAAAAAGATATTTTAAATATTATTATTATCAATTTATAATATTAAACTTTCAAATTACACAAGCAAATTGCTCTAGATTTGATAAATATATATTCTAAATTTCATAAAAATTAAATTAGTAATTATAAAGATATTAAAATTTCAAAGTTGAATAATTAAATTATTTACTATATAATTTTTATATTAATTTTAATCAAATTTTATATAGTAAAATTTAAGAAATAATAATTAAAAAAAGTTATTATTAGTAAAAATTTTTTTATAAAGATATATAATAAAAATTTTTACATTTAATAAATTTTAATATTTAATAACTTAATTAAATAATAAATTTTTTTGTATTAACTCATAAAATATAATTAAAATATTAATTATTAAAAATATTTTAATAAAAATTATTTAATTTTTCATAATTTATTAAATAGAAATATCTTTTCAAATATCTATTAAAAATTGATAAAATTTTAAGATTTGTTAAGTAATTTTATTTAGCAGTATATTATAAATTAAAATACTTATTATTAAAAATTTTTTGATTGAAAATTATTTAATTATTCATAATTTATTAAATAATTTATAATTCCTAATAAAAATGATAGTAAATATATTTTTTACTTATATTTTAATGAAAGATTATTTAAAAATTATGAAAATTTATAAATATATTCTTTAAAATATTAGAAATAAGAATTTTTAATATTATAAAATATATTAATATAATAAAATATTTTGAAATTTTGTGTTAAATATGATAAATTAAAATTTTTAATATTTAAATTAGAATAAAAAATTATTAAGAACTATTTTTAATAAGTAATTTTGAAATAATTTTATGAAAAAATATTTTAATATATAAAAAATAAATTTATATTTAATAAATATTATTTAAAAAAAACTTTATTTTGATAAATTTTTTAATAAAATATAATAAAATAATATTTAAATTTATTAAAATAATCTTTTTTAAATAATATTTATTTAATAAAAATGAATTAAAAATTTTTTTAAATTACAAATATATTTTTTATATTATAAAATATATTTTTTTAAAATATTTTAAAATTTTTTATTAAAGATATTTTTAAATAATTTTTTATTTTAACTTAATATTAAAAATTTCAATTCATTATATTTGATATTAAATATCACAAAATTTTACTATATTAATATATTTTATTATATTATAAAAATTTATTTTTAATATTTTAAAGAATATATTTGCAAATTTTTTATAATTTTTAAATAATTTCTTATTAAAATATAAATAAAAAATATATTTGCTATTACTTTTTTTAAGAATTATACTTATAAAAATATTTCTTCAAATATTTATTCAAAATTTATAAAATTTAATATTTATATATTTAAAATATATTTAATAATTTTATTTAATATTATATTTCAAATTAAATTAATATTTTAATTATTTATTATTATTATAATTATAAATTAAAATTTATAAAATTTAAAATTAATTTAAGCTATTTTAAAAGTTCATAAACTAAATCTTTTATATTATATTCTTTATTATTATTATTATTATTTAATTCTATTTTTAATTTATTAATATTACATTATGAAATATTAATATATTTAATAATAATAATTAGAACTAAATTAAATAAATTCAAAATTTCTAATTTTTTATTTTCAATAATATTTTTATTTACTTTTGACTTATATAAATTTAATAAATTATATTTTTATCTTTTTTGAATAATTCTTTATAATTTTTACTTAATAATTCTTTTATCAATTTAATAATTTTATTATTACTAATTAATAATTAAGAATAATATAATTCTTTTTTAATATTTATTAAATAATATTAATAAATAATTTAATAGTTTAAATTAAAATTATATTTATTATTTATTATATATCTAATTTATAAATAATTAAACTTTTTCATAATTTATAATATATAATATAATTAAAAATAGTTTGATTACAAAATCTTAAAGCTACAATTATATAATAAAGTATGTATTTTATTATTTTAATGATATATAAATATTTTTAAAATATAATATATTATATGAAAATTCATATTATTTAAATTTTGTAATTATATTATATTTTTCATTTTTTATAAATATTATAATTTCAAAAAATTAATAATTAAAAACTCTAATATCTAAATTAAAATATATTAAGTATATTAATTATAATTAATAATACTATTAAATAAAATATAATTTTAAAATATAATATATTTAATATTATATCTTATTATTTAATAATTAAATTTGAATCTAACTAATATTATTTAATTTTTTTAATAAAATAAATCAAATAATATTAAATTTACTTAAATCTAATTATTAAATATTAAAATATTATATTTTAAAATTATCAAATATTAAATTTAAAAAAAGTAATCCAATAAATTTGTAATATAATAATTTAATATCTAATAATTAGAATTATATAATTTTAATATTATTTAATTTATTTTATCAAGAAAAATCAAATAATATTAATTATATTTGAATTTAATTATTGAATATTGTGATATTATATTAAATGTTTTATATTCAAAAAATTATTTTTTATTATAATAAAAATTGATACTTTAATAAAATATTATAATAAAAATATCTTGAAATTTTGAAAGTAAAAAAATATTAATAAATAAATTTTATTATTAAATTCTTTAAAACTATTAAATATAATAAATTAAATAAAAATAATATTATTTTTATATAAAATAATATATAATTAATAAAATAATAAAATAATTTGATAATAATATAATAAATATAATAAAATAATTATTTTAATCTTCTAATTTAAATTTAATCAAATATTTCTAAAATAAGATAAATAGATATCTAAAATAATTAAATATTTTAATTAATAATTAAGATTAACTATAGAATATAATTTAATAAATTTGAATTATAATAAATAATGAATTTATAACTTGACTAATTAAAAGTATATTCAAGTAAATGAATAATGTAATTAATATTAAAAAAGAATATATTAGATAATAAAGAATATTTTATTTAAATTTTATTTATTAGTTAGTTGATAATAATTTTTATATTTTAAATTAATTAAGAGAATAAAATTATGTAAATCTCTTTTTTTTTGTTATTATAATAATAATTACTTATAAAATTATTTTTATATATTTTATAAGATTTGTCAATTATATATATTTAAATTTATAAATCTTTAATATATATGTGCAAAGTTATTAAACTTTTAAATTTATTATTTGAATGATACAAAATATTTGACAGTTATCATAATATAATTTTCTTGATATAATATAATAACTGTAAATATCATATTATTATCAATATAAAGTTGAGATTTTTTAATAAGATATATTTCTTGAAGTTAAAAATACAAAAGAAATAATAGAAAAATTAAAAAAAAATATATAGTGTACAACAAAAAAACTGAATATTTTATTTTTAATTATATTCAATGAATATTTATTTAATTTATATAAAATTTTAAATATATATACTTGATAACCTAGTAAAAAAGTTTACTTAAAAGTATTTAATAGCTTATCTTAATAAAATTTTTCATTATTTTATAATATTTACTTAGTGAATATTTAAAATAGAAAAATTTAACATTTTAATAATTAATAAAGAATTTTAATATTTAGTATATAAAAACTGAACTGAACTGAATTATTGATATCTGATTTTAATAAAATTAAAATCAAATCGATTTTTAAAAACTGGTGCTGAACTATTCAGATCCCGTATTAAAGTATACGCGTCATCACATTCACGTGCACAAATATCGATAAAAATTTTATTATAGACCGGACTTTAGTGTATAAAATACCAATATCAAGTTAAAAGAAATTAATAATAGCAATGGCGTCGGACCGTTACAGGTAATTATGTAGAAATAATCACCAAGGAATCCAATTTAAAATTGTTCGACTTTCAGCCTTTCATTATAGGAATTTAATTTCAATTTGCTTTTTTTATTTTTTATTCATTTTTGTGTTAAAATATGAACATGTAGTTTTTCATTGACAACTTTTTCGCCTTCTGGCAAGTTAGGCCAAATTGAGTATGCGTTAAATGCCGTGGCTGGTGGTGTTACAAGCATTGGGATAAAAGGTAATATCATCAAAATCGTTAATTGTATTTGTTTTTAATTCGTTTAATTTAAATCAATTCTATCAATCTTTGAAGTCAATTGATGCTTTAAAAATTGTTCACTTTGTCCAAACATAAAAAAAGCAACAAATGGCGTCGTGCTTGCCACCGAAAAAAAGACCTCATCTCCGCTTATCGATGATTCCTCTCTCGAAAAAGTCGCGGTCATCTGCCCAAGTATCGGGATCGTATATTCTGGGATGGGCGGCGATTTTCGGGTGTTGGTCACAAAAGCACGGAAAGCTGCGCAGAAGTATAAGCAAGTGTATTATGAGTATCCGCCGACTGGGATTCTAGTAAAAGAGGTGGCGAGCGTTATGCAAGAATATACGCAGAGTGGGTGCGTTGCATGTCGCTAGGATTATGAAAACTTGCAATAAATAAATAAAATAAAAATTAATTAATCCTAACTTTTATTATTATAGTGGAGTTCGACCATTTGGCGTATCCATACTTGTATCAGGCTATGACGAGACAGGACCATCTCTTTATCAAGTTGATCCGTCTGGTACTTACTGGGCATGGAAAGCATCCGCAATTGGGAAAAACATGGTTAATGCAAAAACATTTTTGGAAAAAAGGTTTTTTTAAGTTGTTCCCTAATTATCTAAACTTTTTCAGTTACTTGGAATTAAAATGTTAAATTTCAAATTCAGATACAACGATGATATCGGAATCGAAGACGCGATACACACTGCAATTCTCACCTTAAAGGAAGGATTCGAAGGACAAATGACCGAAAATTCAATTGAAATTGGTGTAATTGATGGTGGGCTAACAAACACTCTGGATATTCCAAAGTTTAAAAAGTTGACACCGTCTGAAGTTAAAGATTATTTAGCGAACATAGCTTGATATTATCATTAAAAAATTGACTATTTTTATTTATTGACTTTTACTTATATTTTGTGATAAACTGATAAAGCTGTAAAAAAGAATGATATATTTGCTATAGTTATTATTAATCTTGAGTGATTAGTCGAACTCAGTTTACGAAAATGGTTATACACGATTAATAAAATAATGCGCCTATACGTAAGTAACATTTAAAAAAGAATTTTTTATAATCACTAAATATTAAATTATTTAAAAGTAATGTATAAATCAAATCTATATTTTTTGAAATGTTGTCTTTACAACCAAAATATTTGAAATAATTAACTAATTAATTTTTGGAAACTTTATGCCTAATGTGTATGTAATTGATGGTGGTGAGTAGTGATAATAACAGCGGTTTTATTTGTATCTATTAGTATATTAGAATTTAGTGACGACGACTTGTAGACGGAGACCGAGATCCTGACCTTTTTGATCCACGGCGTTCTTTCTCACGTTCTTTATCCTTGTCTTTTTCTTTGCCTCGATCGCGATCTTTTTCTCTCTCTCTCTCCCGATCACGTTCTTTATCACGGTCTTTATCTCTTTCACGATCTTTATCTCTTTCACGATCTTTATCTCTTTCGCGATCTTTATCACGATCTTTATCACGCTCTTTATCACGCTCTTTGTCACGCTCTTTATCACGATCTTTATCGCGATCTTTATCACGGTCTTTATCTCTTTCCCTTCTATCTCGATCATGATCTCTATCACGATCACGATCCCTATCACGCTCTTGTTCTCTTTCTTTCTCTTTGTCCCTTTCTCTATCTCTGTCTCTGTCCCTTTGTTCTCTTTCCTTCTCCTTGTCTCTTTCTCTATCTCTCTCCTTGTCTCCTTTCTCGATTTCTCGTACTTTATCTTTTTCTTTGTCCCTATCTCGTTCTCTATCTCGCTCCTTTTCTCTATCTCGTTCCCTATCTCGCTCCTTTTCTCGATCTCGTTCCTTTTCTCTATCTCGCTCCTTTTCACGCTCTTTTCGATCTCTCTCTTTCTCTCGTTCCTTCCGATCCTTTTCTCTTTCTCTCTCCCGTTCTTTATCCTTATCTTTACTGCGATCTTTTTCTTTCTCACGTTCTCGTTCCCTCTCGCGGTCTCGTTCCCGATCACGATCTCTATCGCGTTCTCTATCCCGGTCTCTATCGCGATCACGATCTCGGTCACGTTCTCTTTCACGTTCTCTTTCACGTTCCCGATCTCGGTCTCTATCACGATCTCGGTCACGATCTCGTGAATCACGATAACGATCACCTATTTTAAGGAAATCACAGTTAACAATCTTAAAATTAAACTATCTGATGATAATAAACTCACCTCGAAAACGGTCTCTTGAACGACTACGAGAACGCCGGTGACGATAGTGATAGTCTAAAGCAAGGTCTTCAATAAATAATTCGAATTTTAAAATTAGACATCAAAACCAAAGGAAACAAGTGAAAAGTTATCACAACCTCTATCTCTTGATCTCGATCTACGTCGTCTAGCTCTGCTTATACTTCTGGATCTGGATCTACTTTTATCTTGTTTAATAGACCTGGAACTGCTACGTCTTCTAGTTTTTGCATCTGGGAGAGGGGAAGCATCTTCCATTACAACATCTTCTAATGGTGCACTACCATTAGGACTATCATCAGGCTGGGTCGTCTCACTGGTGCTCAAACGACTTTGAATTCTCGCCTGAGCTTCACGAACTCGTCGCATAGTCGCTTGAACATCAGGAGCATCATTTTTTTTCGGTGTTTTATTAATAGCATTCTTTGAGTGATTTACCCTGGAAACAATTGTAACAGCTTAAGTCGACAAGAAATTTTCATTTATTCAATAATCTGCTTAAATAAGGTCTCACTTTAAAGGTCTTTCCCCAAGCATAACTCCATTCATTTGCATGGCAGCTTGCGCGCCTTCATAAGTAGCAAACTCCAAAAAAGCAAATCTGGTAGGTTGAGCCGGATCTCCTGCCATCTTGACATAAGCCACCGGACCACAGGCCGAGAAAAATTGCGTCAATTCCGGTTCAGATATAGAAGAATTAATATTCCCAATATAAACCGTTCTCGATATCTCTTCCGCTTTCGCGGGATCAAATTGCGCGACTGTTGGAGAAATGGCCGGATTTGCACGAATCACAGCCAGTGAGCTCGCTGATATTGGTTGAATCGATGCTGCCGAAACTACGGCGGCCATTGGTTTAGGTGGGATTGACTGGATTTGTTTCATTGATGTCGGAGGTCTTGATGGTGTTATTGCCGTCAATAGTGGTGGAATTTGTTGTTGAAATGGATGTGTGTAATCATTTATCCCAGTTGGCGCAGTGGTTGACGAGACCATTAAAGTACGATCTCCTAATTCTACACCAGTGAGATGAAGTGCTGTTATCGCAGACGAGGTGTCTTTGAATTCCACGATGCATTCTTGTACACCATCTCCATGCGGGCTTTTTAATTACACTTTTTAAATTAGTATATTACAAAATTAAAGGTTTAGAAGAAATAAGTATCAAAATAATAAGAGTTTGCAAAAAAAACCTGTTATGTAATTTTAGATTAGTGACTTCACCCAAATACTCAAATAATTGTCTCAAAATTGGCTCGGTTACCAAGGCTGATATATTAGCAACCTGGAAGATGGTAAAGATTGAAAAGACAGATATTGTTAAATTCGAGTCTTGTAAAAAATTTTCCTTTCTTCATTTTCAAAATTAAAATAAAGTACCTTGACAACGTTATCAACAGACATTTCGCGTTAAACGCCAACGAATACAAAATTTATTTATTTGTGTTGATATAACATCTTGAGAATGTCGTCCGGCTATACGAATGGCTTATTCATATAACCAAAAGTCAGATACCCAGTTCCTAGTTCCACGGTGTGCATAGGTGTGCATAGGTGTGCATGATAAATTGTGTAATGTAAATCAACTACAAAAGTATTACATATAAATATATCAAAGGTTCCCGACCCAAACCAAAAAAGTAAAGACTTATTAAAACTCGACTAAATTTCGGATTTTTCCGTTTATCAAGAAGTAGGGAATTTTTCTCTTTGCTGCAACCGTTGTTTGAGGCATCACTCATTCTTTCCATTTAAACCGGCCGATTCTCTTCGCCTGCAAATGTACAAATTAGCATTATATTTGCAGCAAAAGGATCAAGAACATAGATAATAGTAAAAGTAACGATAAAAGTAATAATGACCACATCTCAGGATCACACAAAGCCGCTGCTCAAAGACCACCTTGAAGTGCCTTCCTATAATAGTGTCGTGAGCGAAACCAGTAGCCAAATCTCTCTCATTAGAGACTTGAACACTTGGGATATGATAAAATTGACTATATGCATGGCTGGTATACAATTTACTTGTAAGTATTAGCATATACAATTCAAAAAGACAAAATGTAAAACTTTGTATGGTTGACTTGTTAATTTTAATAAAGAAAAAATGATGATGAATAATATGAAAATATCGCATTTGATTTTCTTTTTACCGTTTAGTATTTCTTGAGTGGGAGAATGAACAAAAAATGAACTAAAGTGCATTCGTTCTATTGGATTTTTCTTCTTTTTATTACTGCTTCTCCTAATTGATTTTCAAAGCGTCGTGTTCTTTAACAAAAGTGTTGGTGTTGTTTTAATTCATTGTCTTGTTTATCTTTTATTTTTCTTATTCTCTATTATTATCGTCTCCAACAAATAACAATATAAAACTCTCTTATATATTGACTTTTTTATTATTGAATTATAAAATTATGATATAGGGACAGTGGAGTTTTCGTGAGTACATTTTATGATTTTTAGTTTTCTTTACCATTTTCTATTTTTTGGTCTTTTTTGGAGGATGAAGAAGTGCTGAGCTAGGGAATTCTTCAAATATTGCATTTTTATGATTCGTTGAACTAAATATATTAATATATATATATATGTGTGTGTGTGTGTGTGTGTGTGCGTGTGTGTCTGTAAAATATACGACGCTATTCAACTATTTCTCGGCGGACATATCCTAAAAATATTATCTCACAAAAAATCGAACTGAAAAACAACAAAAGTTATGGAACTCCTTACCTCAATTCCTTAGGACTATCAAAAGAACTGATTGCACTCGTTTGGCTTGCGGGTCCTTTATCAGGATTAATAGTACAACCGGTGATTGGCGCTTACAGTGATAAGAGTACATTCAAGTATGGAAGACGTCGACCGCTCATGATTCTCAGTGGATTAATTGTTTGTCTGTCATTGTTTGGCATTGCTTACTCAAATGAATTGGCAGAGTTTCTTTTATCACGAAAAAGTTATTATCTGGATATTGATCTCGAGGTATGCGTATGTTAAACTTTAAATGAATATATGTAATGATGATTGATTGGAGAAAATACTAAATAATATCTTGTTTTTACCTTACGAAAAGATGAAAAAGACTTCAATTTGGATAGCGGTAATCTCATTCTACTGCTTGGACTTCTCTCTGAATGCTGTGATGGCAGCCTGTCGAGCTCTCATTGTTGACATTTCCCCACTTTCGCAACAAGAAATTGGGAACGCTTGGGCTGGACGAATGATTCATGTCGGAAACATCGCGGGATATTTTACCGGCTTCATCAATTTGCTACTTTGGTTTCCATGGCTTGGAGATACTCAGATGAAGGTGCTCTGTTCTATTGCAATTTTTGTACTGATTGCTTCGTTGATCATCACATGCGTGAGTGTAACCGAGAAAGTCTATGTGCCTATTAATGGAGAGGAAAAGTATGTTTTGCACTATTGTATTTTATTGATTATTTAATTTATTTGTATTTATGGATAGAATTTCTCATTATTTCTCTTATTATATTGATAAATTTAGATCATCAACGAAAGAGAAGCTCTTATATATATATAGAGCTGTCCGCTTTCTCCCAAAACCAGTTCAAAGAATCTGTAATGTCCAGTTTTTTGCATGGATGGGATGGTTCCCATTCCTATTTTATAGGTAAAATAAACAATATTAATAATTATAACATTTTCGGCATTTCTAATACTTTTAAATCACCAAAAAATAGCTCAACATGGATAGTGGATATCTACTTGAAAACACACTCACGCCGCGACCCAAACGAAATCATGACAGCTGTGAGATATGGATCATTATGTCTATTACTATATTCAATAGTATCATTTTTCGCCGGTATTGTTTTACCACAACTGACACCTGACTCTTATCCAACCAGAAATCCATTCACCATCTACAATATTTTTACGGTGTCGAATCTCATTGTAGCAGTGTTGGCATTTTTGACGTTTATTGTGAGTACTGTTAATCAGGCAATGGTGTTAATGGCTGTTTTGGGTATTCCATGGGCGGCTGCAATGTGGGTTCCTTACGCGCTTGTTGGAGAATTTGTTAGTAGAAACGATCAAGAAATCTTACAAGATGATGATCCTACCGACACTTTCATAAGTAATAAAAATTCTTCAACCGCTTCGTTCGATAAAACACCGGAGCTTGAAGAACAAGCATTACCACGTCCTGATGAAGATTCATCAATCACAAAAGGCAAACTACCACGTCTCGCAATAACACCATCATCTTCGTCCTCCAATTCAAAAACTTATGATGGAAACAATGAAGAGATTGCATCTACGTCACTCACAACAGCATCAGAATTCGACGCTGGGATGATCTTAGGCGTTCACAATATATACATTGTGTTACCGCAACTCACTACCGCGTTAGTTAGTTCAGTAATTTTCAAGATTGTAAAAGATATGAATGGCGGAGATGAGACTGGTTGGGTTATTCGGTATGGTGGAATAATGATGATAGCTGCTGCTGTTTTATCTCGGTATATTGAGAGGTAATTGGGATTATTTAGAGATAATTAAATAGCATATACGCATATACATATAAGTACTCATTTGCATAGTTTGCATACTGATTTTGGTTATTCAATACCAATAAAATCTTTATCAACGAGGCCAAGTTCCAACTTGACAGTGTTTAAGTATTATTTCCTTTTAGCATGCAAATGGAAAAATTATTTCTTGTTATCATGTAAAAGATTATTGAGGCATTATATGCAACACATTGAATTAGCTTAAAGCTTTACGAATTTTAATCAGAAATATTAGCATGAACATTTCGGTTGTAATTTTTTTCTTGAAGACACTACATCCTAATATATGTAAATCCAATATTTAAACATCCTTAATATCGATAAATATAGCAAACTGATCAGAACAAAACTCGATACTTTGCTTTTTTTCAAACATATCAGACCTCACAAAAGTGCAAGTCGCCGAAAAAATCAGATATAAAACTTGTATCCAACCCGTGCTCATAAACACGTGATCTAGCACCGATTTCCATAACGGGGAGTGCTGAATTTGAAAATAAAAATTATTGATTATATAATTATTATTATATTTATTTTTATACTTTATATTTGTAATAATTCTCAAAAAAATAAATTTCTAACAAATTTTTTGAAAATATAACACACAAATAATATTCCTATCAATATAAATATCTTGAATATTCTAAATATTAAAATAAATATTGAAAATACTAGATATATTAATTAATAATTTTTATATATATCAAAATTTCATATAGTATTATTTTTTTATTTCTGAATTTGTATTATTTATCAATATGATCTGGTACAAAAATATTAATACATCAGAAATAAATTATTTTTTCAAAATAAAATTTTAATTCTGTCTTATTTAATTAAGTTATTAGATATTGAAATTTATTTAAATATAAAAAATTTTTACTAATAATAAACTTTTTTTAATTATTATTTCTTAAATTTGTTATATAAATTTGATTAAAATTAATATAAAAATTATATAATAAATAATTTAATTACTAAATTTTAAATTTTAATATCTTTATAACTAATAATTTAATTTTTATAAAATTTAGAATATATATTTATCAAACTTAAAATAATCTGCTTGCATAATTTGAAGTTCTAATATTATAAATTAATAGTAATAATATTTAAAATATCTTTTTTTAAAAAAAAATAATTTTATTTTAGTTTTTTTAATAAAGTAATATTTCATTTATTATTAAATCAAAATATAATAAAATAATTAAAATAGTATAAAAAGTTAATTTAGATTATTTTTTATTTAATATAAAAAAATTATAAAGATTAATTAAAATTTAAATAATTTTTATTAGAAGTAATTATTAATTTTATATTGATTTATTAATTTTTTTTGTATCAAATTATATTATTATATATATTTATTAAATTATAAATTAAAAAATTTGAAATTTATTAATTATAAATTTATCTAATATTAATTTAAAAAGATTATTTAATTTAATATTATTTTTTAAGTATTATTTATAGATTTTTATTTTTATAAAGAGAATATATTAAATTTATAATATTAAATTTATAAGTAAATTAATAATATTATAAAGATAATTTTATTATTCAAGTAAAATTTTCATATTTTAATAAATTAATATAAATTAATGCAAAAAGATTTGTATCTTAATATAAAAATTAATAATTATTTCTAAAAAAATTTTAATTAATCTTAATAATTTTTTTATATTAAATAAAAAATAATTTAAATTAACTTTTTATATTATTTTAATTATTCTATTATATTTTAATCTAATAATAAATAAAATATTACTTTACTAAAAAAAAATTAAATAAAATTATTTTTTTTAAAAAAAAGATATTTTAAATATTATTACTATTAATTTATAATATTAAAACTTTAAATTATATAAATAAATTATCTTATATTTGATAAATATATATTTTAAATTTTATAAAAATTAAATTAGTAATATTACAAACTATACTTTGGAAGATAGATTTTATCATGACTAAATTATTTATAAAGATAAAGAGAATTATAATTATTTTAGTACTAATATTTACAAGTATTATATCAATACAAGATAAAAATGAAATATAATAAGTATATAAAAATAAAGTTGTGATTATGATTACTAAACTAAAAGTTGATATCAAAAACAAAAGTAACAAATGCTTAAAATCAAGATAATAAATATCAAATATAATAAATACAAAAATAAAAGCAATAAATACTAAATTTAAAGTAATAAATACTAAATTAAGTTTTTATACGTGAAAAAGCTTACAAGAATCTTCTAAATTAAATAAATTTACTTGACTTATTTTAAGTGAAAGATATCTATTACTAAAGATGACTTCTCAACTATTGCAATATGGTGATAAATAAAGCATCATCTAGTTGCAACTAGTTGTGACTTATAAAATTTTGGAGTTGTAACGTGTTGCAACAGGTGACAAATAAGTATCACATACTTGTTGTATCATCTTTATCTACTACCTAAGTTTTTTGAATAAGAAAAACTTATAAATAATTAGAATATAATCTATTATGATAGAAAAAATAAATGAAAGCAAGATATCAAAGTAAAAATTAAAGAAAAATTTATAAGATAAGTATAACTTAAGTATTTTCAAAAGATAATTGAATTCTTACTATTCAAGTATATTTATTTCAAGTTTTAGAGTAGAGATATTTATATATTTTTAAGATTTTACAAGTTTCTATCTAAACTTACTTGCTACTCTAGATTACAATTATAAATATTAGGATAAAAAATCAATAAATAAACAAGTAAAAATAAGAGATAAGATATATGTGATAAGTTATAAGATAATACAAATGATGAAATAAAATAAAAAGATAAGAGTATATATTTTAAAAAGAAAAGATAAATGATAAAAATAAATTAAATTTATTATTAAATTATTTCTAAAGTATTTCTGAATTATTATTAAACTATTAGTAAACTATTATTGATTTTAAAACTAATTATTTATTTATAATCTTGAAATATTATTAAAATATTACAAGAACATGACAAAAATATTATTGAATTATGATTGAATTCATAACTGATATATCAATTATATTATTCAAAATCATATATCTTCTAAAGATTAATTGATTGGTCAAATTTTTCAAGTTTAAAAAATTATGAAATTAAAAAAATTTATGTTACTATAGTATTATTTAATCTCTTTAAATAAGATTGAGCTCTAGTAAGACTATTAAATTCTTTTTAAAATTTCTTTAATTTCTTCATTTCTTATATGTACTAGATTATTATAGGTAATTTATTAGAAGTTATATACTTTTTCAAATTCATATTTTTCTAATAGCTGGTAAATTTATTTTTCAAGAAGAAAATATTTTCTAATTGAAGTAATTCCTTTTGATTGTGCCATTTCTCTTTGTAGTTCCATTAATTTTCTGAAATATTATCTAAGTATTTCTTTTAATATTTATCTAAAGTAATAATATCTAATAAATTGTGATTTATTAGATTAGTTATTATAATTTTCATAAAGATCATTAAAAATAATTTGAACTCTTGTCTTCTAGCTTTGATCAGGTCAAAATTGATAAGTAATATTTGCTATTATTATTATTTTTGAAATTTTAATATTGATTATATTCACAAATTATTTTATCCTGATGCTACTCTGTGAATTATTAATTAAAGTTAAAGCTTCTTCTATTAGTAATTCTGGTTGTTAAGATATTTCTAGAGCTATACTGATATTGAGTTATTTTCCAGTAATAAGATTGCAAATAACTTTCTGATTATTATCTTCAAGTATTAATTGATCTGTATGAATTTGTAAAGTTCCACTAAATTCATTATCTTTCAACTATTGGTGAAGAATCAAAATATTTTGAATAAAATTGAAGTTACTAAAAAGAGTATTCATCTTTAAAGAGTTAAATACCAACAAGAAATTAAGCTATTTAATAAAGGTATTAAAATAATTAAAAATAATAAAAATTTAAAAAAAATATCAAAGTAAAAATTCTATATTTATAAAATAAAATTTTTAATAATTAATCAGTATATATATATGTATATACTACTAAATAAGATTTATGTAAAATTAAGAGATAAATAAATATCATGAGATAAAAAATTTATTTTTCATTTTCTTCTTCTATTATTGGTATTTTCATGTGTTTAATAAATATTCTTGACTCAAAGTATTCATTTCTATTATAATATCCTTTTAATTAAATATCATTAAAAGTTTTATATAATAATTAATTATATTAGTTTCATAATTTGTAAGCTCTATTACCAAGAGTTTCATGAATATAAAATCATTTTATATTCTATTATGACTGAAATTTATTTTCATGAGTTACATATTATTTTATATTATATACTAGAACTTTATCACCAATTTTAAATTGTGTGATTCTTTGTAATTTTAAGTCATATTTTTCTTTTATTTATTATTGCTATCTTTTGATTTAATTTTGTACTGTATTGATATCTTCTGGTAAATGATGAATTAAAGAAAATATTTGATCTAATATTTCATCTTTTTCATTATTATTTTCTTCTATTAATAATAGATATTTTAAATCAATAAACAATTGGACATCTCTTTCATAGGTCAAGAAAAAAGATTCATGTTAGGTGATATTATTTCAAAATATTCTGTATATAAATAATGCTAATAGTATATATATATCCTATTATTTATCTAATGTAATATAATACTTTTGAAGTATTTTACATAAAGTTTTGTTAAATTATTCTACTACTTCATTAGTCTGTGAGTAATATAGTAATGAAAACTTGTGTTTGATTTCAAATCAAGTGGTAAGTTCTTCAATTACTTGTACTGTGAATTTAGTTTCTTGATCAGATTGTAATTCTTTAGGATATTCATATCTATAAATTATTTTTTCAAAAATAAATTTAATAATTGTACTAGCTTCTTTATTTAGAATTACTTTTGCTTCAAACTATTTAGTAAGTAAATTTATTGCTATAGCAATATATC